GCAAATCATTTGACTCCAACTATCCTGAGTTTTATATGTGTATTACTTGGCAGTCCACATGGCTCAAGCATGGTAATGTGGGCACAGGCGCTTCTGGAACAAGCAAATCCAGTCTCCTTTAGAACAATCAGCGCTTGCTACCTTTTCTCATATGAAATTTGTAGATGGGAATAGCAGGTAGCAGAACCAAGAGTATCTATGCTTTAGGCACACAAGGAGGCATTAGTTTCAGGAAAAAGTAAAAATCAGTGGCATTCAAAAGTATTTTGAAAAACATCTTCTACAAAGTGACAAAAGTAGTATTCCTCAGGGTCAGAAGGGCAGGTCAGCCTCCAAACAATATTCCAAGAGCATAAAAAAGCCATCAGCTCTCCTCACTGCAGCCACACTGTCAAACGCAGTCCCTCTGACTCCTGAATTCATTTTCTCTGTTCTGCCCCTATAAATATTCAGGGGCAAAATGATTCAGACCAAATTCCCTACCTAGAAAATTTGTCAATGAATTGGTATTTTCAAACCAATATCACATGAAAAGAATCAACTACTCTTGAGAACAAGTCAGAGGCTGGGAATTGAAAACTATGTAGCTGGGAGTTTCTCCTGTAAGGGTGGAAAAAACATGATCATTAGAAACGGTATTCTGGGGGCATGTTTCAACTGGGTAATAAATGTTAACTTTTCTTTCAGGTATCCTCTTATAATAAGTTGACAGTCCTTTTGAGACAGGGACCATGGGTGTAGTCAGAGTAGGGTGAGGGCCTCCAGGAAAAGCAGGGTGGAATATTTACAGTTAGAGCAATGTAACAATGGGCAAAGAAGTCCCTACTGAAACTCTGTGTTAAGCATTATGCAAAGTCAAGGTCACACTAATTCTCTAGGGAAAGATACCAGACTAAGAATATAGACATCTTCAGTGAGATCAGTTAAAGGTCAAAAGGCTAGGAGCAACTTGGCCTGGAATGTTTGAGTGTTCCACAAGGGTATCTCAGCATAACCCGTGACGTGGCTTCACTGTAAAGAGCCCTAGCAGGCAAGACAAAAGCCCAGCCCACCTTGAGGGCAGGGCAGGTGATGCAAGTCCACACCCCTAAGTTTTTTTTCCTGTTCTCGAAAAATCCTCAACTGCCTATAAAACCCCCTAGACAACACACCACTAGGGGCTCTCTTGTCCCCTCCTGGCGTGAGCCAGGAGCTCTGTCCTCTCACTGTATCTCTCAATAAAAGCCTCTGCCCTAACTCTCCTACCTTGACTGTTTGCTAAGTCCGTTCTTCCACTCCGCAAACAAGAACCCCGGTATCACTTTCCTTATTTCCTCTTTTATTAAGTGTATATCCCAAGTATAACTTGTACATTTTCTACCTGAAATTTCTATAACAATGAAGAACTATAAAGCAAAGAGCAGCAGAGGCACGTTAGTCTGCAGCTCACAAACAAGCCAAAAACTCTTGCAGACCAGCGACGATGCACGCCTCTCCAGTGGCAGTGGTATCTGGGGGTTAAGCTGATGACACCCAACACTGAGTCTGCTTGGAGAATGTCCGCAAGTATCAAGGCTACAGGAGAAAATATTAAAACAGGACACCAAACCATTTTTCCCCTTCCCACTGAGTGTTTATTTTACAGCTTTTGCATCAGGTAATAAAAAAAAACACTTCCAACAACAGAAAGCTGGCAGAATGTTAAGGAAAAGGAGTGATTCTCTCTCCAACAGATGTGACAAAATGGTTTTAAGTTGGAAACAGTGTTGCATAAATGAATCAGCTGAAGCGGGTGGAGGGGGAGGAGAGAAGAGAGAAAATGGAGATGGAGGAAGGAGGGAGCATCCTCCAACACGGATTGTGAGGAAAGAAAGGCACTGTTTAGCTGTGTATTTAAAAATAAAAGGCAAGATATACAATCCATGTTTCTCAAAATTACAGCCGACACTGCTTTAGAGACGCTCACATATCTGACCCTCAAGAGGAAGCTGTGTAAAAACCCAGACAGCACCAGTGTGTCTAAACCATAGGCTTACCAGGGATGTGTTTTAAAGACATCATCACTATCAGGGTCCCTTTATAAATAGTACTGCAAAGGTCCCCAAGTTGCATGAACTTAAATTACAGGATAAATCCGACTGATCACCTATTTCAATCTCTAAAATTCCCACTCCAGGAAATCGTTAAGTCGACTCTGCTCCAGAAGAGCTGAACTGGCAGTGTGTTTGTTGCAACAGGAGCAAGGTTGCCTGAACAGCAGCCATTCAGCTGGCGTCATTCAGCAACGCTGCATCGGGTAAATGGATACAAAAATTAACAATCGCCCTGCTTTCTCTCAAAGTAAATAGCACTAATTTATGAAGAGGCAACATTTCAAATTGTAAAGTAGAAGCACCTGGGCCTCTTAAAGACAAAATTCATAAAATGCTACAGTACAGAGTGCTTTTCATAATAAAGGATTCCAGGACCATAAGTGTGTTTGAGAATGATCAATGGGAAAACTGAGATAAATAAATGGCTTACACAGATGTTCTCTATGTAGAATGTGAATATAAATTAAAAAACCAACTATGTATTTGAGAACCAGCCTTTGAGTTCTCTGGTGCTTCTAGAATTTTTATTTCATTTTATTAGAAAAAGAGAGAATCATTGTCTACAAACTATTTTCTTTCTAACTAAGCAAATACAATGAGCAAATCATCTGCAATATCAAAATACTGTTTGTAAATCACTGGTGGCACGAACAATTTCAAGAATTTCCATTAGGACATATATTGAGAAAGAACAAACAGATTTCAAATTCTGGCATTAACTGAATTTTAAGAATAAGAAATAAAATTTAAAGTAAAAAAGACAACAAGTTTAAGTTCTCTGATTTTCAATAATTTAAATCCAATCATCAGGAATACAGAAGCACCCAATATGTTAAAAGTTGCACAATTGTATATGGATGATAGAAAAGTAATCCCCGTGCAATACTTTAAGTGTTGCTATCAGATATATTTAAGTGATATTTTACAGATTAAAGCTGGGTAAAATCAAAATACATCCTCCCCCTTACATTTTAAAACAGTCACAATAATTTAACAACAGTTGCCATTTCACAGGAATTAGAAAATAGGAGTTGATACAAGTTGAACAAAAAGTACTTTTTCCTCTTTTTGGAAATAAACATATATAGATACACACACGTAACATTATCTTTTAAAATTCAAAGTGGTTAATTTGTTTTTGTATTATAAAAAAAAAATCTCCCTATGATCAAAATACTGAAAAAGCACAAAGGCTAAAAAAAGAAAACCACATTTGCCACTTTAAAAAAATACACTATTGTCTCAGTGGTTCCATTTATTTGATTATAAAGTTAGGTATTACAAGGACTCTGTGCTTGTCAGATTCCTAGGACTGTATTAAACAAGATGGAATTAAATCTAACCCACTCTCAGTCTCCTGGAAGGAGACTACTAACCCACCCTAAAATAGAATAAATGACCCTATTCTGAACTGTTAAACTGGGAAAGAAAACATGCCCACCTGGAAACAATCTAAGTCATAAAAGTGTATGACTCTGTGGGGGAGACCTCCTGAATTAGAAAGTTATTCTTTGGATATAAGTTAGGAGCTTTTGGAAGTATATAAACTCTTCTAGGCCACTAGAATACAGATTCAAAAATGATTTCTCCATAATGATCTATTATAGGGATTGGTAAACTACAACCCATGGTCCATATCTGGCATGCCACCTGTTTTGTATAATAAAGTTTAATTGGAACACAGCCGTGTTCACTCATTTATGTACTGTCTATGTTCCTTTTGGGCTAAAACAGCAGGGTTGAGTAGTTGTGACAGAAACACTATGGTCTGCAAAGCTTAAAATATTTACTCTGGATCTTTTTAGAAAAAGCTTTCTGACCCCTATCTAGTGCATGTATTACTCTAGTTACCTGAATGAGTTAATGCACCTCAAGATTTTAGCACATACTCCAAGAATAACCTGCATACTGGGGTTCCTCAGCAGATAAACATCAAATGCTTCACCATGAAGTGGTGCTTTACTTTTGGGCAAGGAAATAATTTGTGTATATTTTCAACAAATACATGTAAAAGCTAATAAATACACACACACACAAAAAAAAGCCCAGTAGGAAAGGTATGGCTATCAATGTTCTCAGATTTTTCCTATTATAGGGGAGAAAGGGTCTAAAATGATTTTCTGTCAACTTTCTGGAGCTTTAAATGTATTTTTAAATGTTTTTTGATAAGTAGCTATGGGGAAATGGAAGTTCCTCTGGCCAGGATCCTCACCTCACCCTAAATTACTTAATGATGTAACCGGCCTGTTGATAGTCTACTGCTTCCACACCCGTAGGCAATAAACTGTTACTGACTGAGTCACTATATAAAGAGCTCTGTCCAGTGCTCTGGGCGGAGGCAGGGAAGAAGGAGGATTACACATGTAATTCTAGTGCTCCACACATGGCAGGGAGAATAAAGCCTGGTATAAAATCCATTTATCCCAAGAACGTTCCATTGTCATTCCTCAGTCTCACTGAATCCACAGTGAACTTGCCCAGGGCTGAAACCCTCAGGCAAGACAGTAGTGCTCCCTCCTCACCTCCCAAACAATTAATAACCTTTAAAGCAACCTGCCTACAATGCTTACATAGTTTGGTGAGGCCTTGTTCAGGAATATTTATTTAAACATATTAAAGATTAGTCTTTTAGAAAATGTTTCTAAAATTCTCTGTTACTCCAAGGGGAGGAAGGTAAGGAATGCACAAGGAAATTAAACTCTGCAAAATATACCTAAAAAAACAGATATAAAATAGCTACCATTTCTGAATGGTAATGTAAAATCAAAACAGAAAAATCTTCCCAATTTCAAGAGCACATTTTGCCCTGCCCTGAGTCAGTAATGAAGTCTTTTTCAAACAGGGAACCTCCTGAACTCAAGCAGCTGCTCATGAATCTTTAAGAGTTCACAGGTGCTTCATATTTGAATCGCTGTTGAAACAAAAATACTGAAAAAGCACAAAGGCTAAAAAAAGAAAACCACATTTGCCACTTTAAAAAAATACACTATTGTCTCAGTGGTTCCATTTATTTGATTATAAAGTTAGGTATTACAAGGACTCTGTGCTTGTCAGATTCCTAGGACTGTATTAAACAAGATGGAATTAAATCTAACCCACTCTCAGTCTCCTGGAAGGAGACTACTAACCCACCCTAAAATAGAATAAATGACCCTATTCTGAACTGTTAAACTGGGAAAGAAAACATGCCCACCTGGAAACAATCTAAGTCATAAAAGTGTATGACTCTGTGGGGGAGACCTCCTGAATTAGAAAGTTATTCTTTGGATATAAGTTAGGAGCTTTTGGAAGTATATAAACTCTTCTAGGCCACTAGAATACAGATTCAAAAATGATTTCTCCATAATGATCTATTATAGGGATTGGTAAACTACAACCCATGGTCCATATCTGGCATGCCACCTGTTTTGTATAATAAAGTTTAATTGGAACACAGCCGTGTTCACTCATTTATGTACTGTCTATGTTCCTTTTGGGCTAAAACAGCAGGGTTGAGTAGTTGTGACAGAAACACTATGGTCTGCAAAGCTTAAAATATTTACTCTGGATCTTTTTAGAAAAAGCTTTCTGACCCCTATCTAGTGCATGTATTACTCTAGTTACCTGAATGAGTTAATGCACCTCAAGATTTTAGCACATACTCCAAGAATAACCTGCATACTGGGGTTCCTCAGCAGATAAACATCAAATGCTTCACCATGAAGTGGTGCTTTACTTTTGGGCAAGGAAATAATTTGTGTATATTTTCAACAAATACATGTAAAAGCTAATAAATACACACACACACAAAAAAAAGCCCAGTAGGAAAGGTATGGCTATCAATGTTCTCAGATTTTTCCTATTATAGGGGAGAAAGGGTCTAAAATGATTTTCTGTCAACTTTCTGGAGCTTTAAATGTATTTTTAAATGTTTTTTGATAAGTAGCTATGGGGAAATGGAAGTTCCTCTGGCCAGGATCCTCACCTCACCCTAAATTACTTAATGATGTAACCGGCCTGTTGATAGTCTACTGCTTCCACACCCGTAGGCAATAAACTGTTACTGACTGAGTCACTATATAAAGAGCTCTGTCCAGTGCTCTGGGCGGAGGCAGGGAAGAAGGAGGATTACACATGTAATTCTAGTGCTCCACACATGGCAGGTAGAATAAAGCCTGGTATAAAATCCATTTATCCCAAGAACGTTCCATTGTCATTCCTCAGTCTCACTGAATCCACAGTGAACTTGCCCAGGGCTGAAACCCTCAGGCAAGACAGTAGTGCTCCCTCCTCACCTCCCAAACAATTAATAACCTTTAAAGCAACCTGCCTACAATGCTTACATAGTTTGGTGAGGCCTTGTTCAGGAATATTTATTTAAACATATTAAAGATTAGTCTTTTAGAAAATGTTTCTAAAATTCTCTGTTACTCCAAGGGGAGGAAGGTAAGGAATGCACAAGGAAATTAAACTCTGCAAAATATACCTAAAAAAACAGATATAAAATAGCTACCATTTCTGAATGGTAATGTAAAATCAAAACAGAAAAATCTTCCCAATTTCAAGAGCACATTTTGCCCTGCCCTGAGTCAGTAATGAAGTCTTTTTCAAACAGGGAACCTCCTGAACTCAAGCAGCTGCTCATGAATCTTTAAGAGTTCACAGGTGCTTCATATTTGAATCGCTGTTGAAACAGGGAGGATAAAACACCGAGAAGACATTTATAAAACAAATTTATATCAATCAATATTAACTTTTTTCAACTGGTTTATAAGTGGACTTCTCCCTTTCTTTGTTAAAAAATTAATGGTATGAAACTATATTTAAAGATGTTTCCATAATACCTTACATTTATATAGTGTTTTCAAAGTGCTTTCACATGCCATCTCATTTAATCCTCACAACATCCCTGTGAGGTAGGTACAGCAGGTATAGTATCCCCATTTCAAGATGAGGAAATTGAGGCAAAGAGAGGGTAAATGACTTGCCCAAGGTCACACAGCTGATAAGTGGCAGAGCCAGGACCAGAAATCAAGTTTTCTGACTCCTTGTCCAGTACTCTTTCCATTATAATTACTGCCCCCAGTTATGAAAAGTGTACTGTATATCAAAATTGAAAGGTTACTGAAGTTCACTTCAGTGATGTTTTAACAGTAAAGTTAAACAAGAAATACAAGACCAGTAGATCTGATGGTTTTACTTGACATAATAAAATTGGTGCAAAACCACTTTTTTCTAATTGCTTACAACCTTTTGGTCCAAATACATAAAATATGCAATATTTACAGCATTTTCTTTTTCTTTTTTTGTAAATGCAATGCTTTAAAACACATTATAAAGCACCTTAGTAAAAATAGTCTACAAGTAAAAGTACAGAAGAAGTAGGAAAATCCTACCCATACCACAGCTCACTCCATATTACCACAGGTGTAATATGGAGTCAATGATATCTCAGTGTACAGCTTTACAAATAACACAGGGAGAAACAAATATTAAACTTATTTTTTTGATATTAATGTGTGGAAGCTTTAATTAATAATTTAGGCAATGTCAACATTCTTTGAAGTATCTCCCCAATCTTAGATATTGGGGAGACGGGAATGAGAAATACTGCTTTGATTCTTTTTACAGTATTAGTAATGGTTTAAATTTGGTTTTTAACACTAATGATTTTTTTTAAAGAATATTAAAATGACTTACATAAAGATGTGCAATTCCAACTACAGGAGAAACACTCTTAGCAAACATGATCAAACATTCCAATAAATTTCATGAGATGTGATCCGAAAAAAAAAAACAAAACACACACCACCCAACAGGTAATAACACTATTCAGTAAAGGTATATAACCTAAACTTCCAGGTAAAGGTAGAAGTAGTATAAGTGGATTCATCTTCATTCATGGTTAGCTGAAAAATGCTTTATCAAAAACAGTGTAACTTTTTCTGAAATTGTATTTAGCCTTTGATTGGACCTCCTATGTGTTTATTTTAGGTGATATCTAGGTTCCAGGCAGGAGGTTGTAACTCCCACCAAAATTTAACTAGATTAAAAAAAAAAGGCTGTAACTTAAAACTTTTTAGATTTCTGACACAGCCAGTATCTACCTCCTTGACATTATTGTCAATTTCCTTACCTGGCTCAATACAAATTGTCTTATACACCTATCAGTGATCCAAGGTGCAGAGCTAAGAACTTAGGTGTAGAGAGGGCCAAAGGTTTAGTTCAAGAATCTAATAGTCACACCTTGTACTCAGTTCGATTTCGGGTAAATCTTTTCATAGAAAAAGTTTTGTGCGAGGATGTAGAGGTCTCCATCTTTTTCTCGTACAGCATGGGCTCTGATGAATTGGAACTGCTCTAGTGCAAATTCATAGAACTCATTCTCCATTTTCCAAATGTCAGATTGCTGTAGTTTTGCAATGGTTTGTTTAGTGGGGAGTTTCTTCTCTGTGGTTTTCCTAAGATGAGATTTCTTTCCTACTTACAAAGGAAAAAAAGAAAAGGTAAATAATTCTGAGGACACGCTAAGGACCAATGCCTACTTGAAGAGATGACGTAAGTTAATGGTACACACTGAAGGACAACTGACATGACTGTTTTGCATTAATATCATTCAGGCAAAATAGTGCCTTAATCATACCAGAACTATCATTGATTTCTTTATAATGTAAGTCCTTGACCTGTTAAAGACTTAACGAGATGCCAAATAATGCCAAGTAAGGATGGCCACTCAGTAAAGTGTACTGTCACATTCCATTTGGTATTCTCAGATCCTTGGTTCTGACTAGTTTATTTTTTGAAATACAAAATATGTTCAAATTTAATACTAATTTCTCATAATTTATATTCTCTTCAAAAAGCAGAAAAAAGAAATCAGATTTAGACTGGACAAGCACGGTCACTCTGAGGTGTATAATGCTGTCCGGGCCGCTGCAGCACCCTTTTAGAAGTACTAGACATAGCACATGATGATCATTATTAATGTGCTCAGGCTCACCTTCTCACCCGCTACTCTCAATGCCATTAGGCAGATCTAAGGATGGAATACAGAGTCATATGTTTGGTATCCAGCATTACAAAGTATTATACATTTCTAAGACTGGTTCTGTAGTTAGTACCCTTCCAGTATTCCTACAGTGCTCTCTAATGATCATCTAATGCTTATTCATTCAAAAAAATATTTAATCAATGCCCTCTGTGTGGAGGACATTGTTCTGTGTTAAAAAATGGTGAGGAAAAGCAGACAATATACCTGCCTTTCTGGAGCTGTTTCTTCTGCTTTACTCAAAAAGCTTCCAATCTCACCTATTTCTCAAGTTTCGAACAAAGCTATGGACGGCTTTGAAAAGGACCCCGTCCTTTACATACCTGTGCGATAGAGTTCTGTAGCACCCCTGAAGAACCGGGGCAAAGCTGCCTCCAATAACATGATGAAATCTTCAAGCTCTTCAGTAACTCCCACCAGAAAGTATTCATTAATTAGGTTGTACTTGGCCTGATCCATAGCCCACCTGCTTCCCACATTCCTGAAACCAAAGGAATTAAAACATAGCTGTGAAATCTGCTAAGTAATTTTGATGCCTTTGACACTGTATACTATGGAGAAAATAGATAAGCACATATCTATACAAAGCCTTAATGCCTTTTTATTAGTATCCTTTGGGAGGCACACCTGTTTTTAATTTTCTTTGCCTCTACAAGTTTCTGCTCAACTATGCAATGCTAAGTAGGACTTTACTTGGGGGTACTTTTCAGTTTGAGGGCAGTTAAAAAAACACAGACATATAAAATATATATTCCTCCTATTGGATCTAGTGCGAGGGCATAATTTTTTTTAACTACTCAAACTTTGTTCATTTTAAGAGCTCTCTAGTAATAAGGTGTGGATAAAGTGAAGGTTCCTGTGGCCAGGATTCTCACCTGGCCCTGTTTGGCTTGCTCACTACACACATGTGGGCAGTATGTTATTGTTGACTCTATATAAAGAGCTCTGCCCAGTGCTCTGAGTTGCTGCATGGTTGCAAGGTTGCAGGAGAGCAGACGCTGGAGTTGTGGCAGCGCCCAGGACAGAGACTGATACAGCTATAGGGACAGAGAGGCCCAGAGGCAGAGACCCTCTTGCTGCATGCAGACTTGCTCTGAGTGGACAGGGTTCTAGGGATTGACCTGCCACGGTGGGAATAAAGTTGGGTATAAACCCTTTCATCCCAAGAACATCCCACTGTCATTTTTTGGTCTCACTGAATCCATAGTGAACTTGTCTGGGGCTGAAACCCACTGGCAAGACGTAAGGTCTAAGCAGTTTGTGTGTAGTGCTTAATTTGTGAGCTTAGGTTTTTCTGAAATTTCTGAGGAATAGAAATAAATGGCTCTGTTAAGAATGTTTTGTTTTTATCTTTCACACTGTCAGCAAAACGGCTGTTAATAGAGATTTGGCCCTAAATAAACTACACTTTTGGGTTCTTTTTAGCACTGACATTCCCTAATCCTAATTCCAGCTCTGCCTTTAAGCAGTGTGATTCTGAGCTGGTGACTTCAAAATTTTTTGTTTTCTCAGCCATTAAAAAGCAGGGGGTTGGGCAGAGAAGGGAAGAGTCAATTAGTTGATTTTCAAGTTCTCTCCCAGTTTTCTATGAATCTATGAAACATACTGAAGAAGTTCAATTAAAATCTCCTCAGTAACGCCTAATAAAGCAATACTTTTTATTGTTCTGAGGCCAAGGTTGGCAAACATTGTCTATAAGGGGCTAGAGAGTAAGTATTTTAGGCTCTGGCGGCCATATGGTCTTGGTCACAATTAACTCTGCTCTTGAAACATTGTATCTTTGAAAACAGCCATAGACAAAAAGTAAATAAATGGATGCAGTTGTGTTCCAATAAAAACTTTATTTAAAAACAGGTGATGGGCCAAATTTTGTCTCCAGGTTGTAAACTGTTAATCCCTGTTCTAAGAAGATGATTAAAAATTAAGAAGACATACTTGCTATGCTTCCAATTATTCTTATGCTATTGTTATGCTTTGATATAGTCTGAGTAGGACCTTAAGGTTCACAGTAATCCAATAACGTATCTCAAATTATGAAGATCAAAGGGCATTTGTTGTATTGCTCATTATGGTTTTACAGGAGATACTAACTTTGAATGTGTTCTTGCATTTTTCTACTCTTCCTATTAATATGATTGATTAGAACATATAAATATGTAACATTATTTTTAAAAACTGAAACTCAGCACATTCTGAGGAAATACCCTCCTTGATTAAAGATAAAACATCTTTATTTTCCACCTCACAATTATTAGCAGATTACACCACAAGTCTTGGCTTTGTCTCAAAAGTCAAATCAGCTTAACAGTAAAACCAGGTGAATAAATTTACCCACTAAACCTTCTCTTGATCTAAAATGAATAGCTAAAACAATAAGCTTAGGAGAAAATGAAGTTCATGAAATGACCCTTATCTCTAATTAACAGCCCTGCTGGAATACAGCAAAATATGTCTAAGATCAAAAACAAACAAAAATTAAAAAACCAGCATCTGAGAAAACACTGTAAGGATAATATGTGAAGATTCTTCTCAATGCACTTAAAGGTAACTGGAAAACTAGATATTACTTAATTGTATGTTATTTTTAGTCTAATCTTTCATTAATTTCCTCATACCTAGCCCTTGACTAATACATTCACACGTGTGAAATACAGATTAGAGAGATAATAAGGAAGATTATCAATTTGAGCTAACTTCATCTCCCTACCAGCACTCTGAGCTGTGGCCGCAGAAGAATGGGATTTGAAGCCAGAGTTTCTCTGGAGCACAGTCTGAACCGCCCTCAGCTACACATTCATCAAAGGTCTGGAACAAAAAAGAAAGCAGCACACGTGAGCCATAAACCCAAGTCTCCCCTATCAAATATCTTAATGTGATAATCATTAAATAAATGGGCAACTGTGGGTACAATGAGACAGTGGATTAAAGGGATAGGCACATCATGAAAACAGACTTGAGATACTGAGGAAAGCTTTTAAACATGGATTTTTCTCATGTTTTTGTTTTATGCCAATGTTTATAAAAGTTCTTTTGTTACGTGAATAGAAATCCTCCCCACCCAACTAATAAATTGTCCTTGAAAGTAAGTACTGGTTCTATTGAATTTATGTATCTGTATTTTCTACCCCTTAGCAAAGGATATTAAGTAAGAAACAAGGTTAAAGATACTATTAGTAAAATAATCACTTGAATATAAGAAGTAGGAGTACACGTAAGTCCCTTCTCCTTTTCTCATTAAAACAAATTTTAAAATCATTGTACAAAGCAGAAATGACCTCAGATACTCTTGATCAGCATGCTCTCCTCTCCAAATGCATCTGACTGAATTAAAGGAAAGGAAAGAGACTCACAGGTTATGTACCTAAAGTCAGTCAACTTCACTTTCTTGAATACTTAATATCTTAATGTCACAGGCCCTCTAACAGCAGCATTACCTATTGTAAATGATACTGAGACACTAGAGAACAAACCAGGGAGCTTTGGTTGTTGCAGAGACACCTACAAACACCGCCTGTTATTCCCGAGAAGGGCAGGTAGGAAAGAGAAGAAAGAAAGAGCACTTGTTCTGAGTTAAGGCTCCTGAGTTTCTAGACCAGGACAGATCAGGTCATACAAATACACACACATATACACATACATATCTTCACTGAAAGAATTTGCTTCATTTTTTGGGGGTGTTTATGGTCTTTCTCAACTACAGTGAACATTTACTGGAGAGGTCATGCAGTACACATCTGTGCCCTCCACTGCACGCAATACACTACTATGCAAATCATTTGCAAATTCAGTATTTGTAAAAGGTTGGGAAGACAATACTTGGAGGATTTACATGAGCACAAAAGGCACGGTTCTAGTGGAGATGAAGAAAAACTTTCTCATGAAGCATTTTGACAGTCCCTTAGAGTTCTCTCAAATTCTTAACATCTCTCTCCCTCTCTCTCTACATATGTGAATGTGTATATATAAATAAATAGAATAAATACATACAAATAAATAAATATTTTAAGTGAAAGCATCTCAGTTTACACTGAAGACTTAATAAAGCTCATTTCAATGGCCGTTATATTATTTCTGAATTTTACTAGATGGTCTGACAGATATGCTGGCCTAAGTCACTTTCTATAAAGTAGTTTTATTATCACTTATGCCAATTTGCAGCTGATAAAAATAAAACAACCTGGGGCGGAGCCAGGATAGCGGCGTGAGTAGAGCAGTGGAAATCTCCTCCCAAAAACACATAGAGCTATGAAAATATAACAAAGAAAAATCTTCCTAAAATAGAGACCACAGGACACAGGACAACATCCAGACCACATCCACACCTGCAAGAACCCAGCGCCTTGCGAAGGGGGTAAGATACAAGCCCCGGCCCGGCGGGACCCGAGCGCCCCTCCCCCCGGCTCCCGGCGGGTGGAGAGAAACCGGAGCATTTTTTTTTTTTGGCGAGCGCTTTTTGGAAGCCTTAGAGGGACGGGCCCCCGTTGCTGGGGAGGCAGGGTGGCGGGACCGGTGAGGAGGTGCCTGGGAACGGCGCCGGAGGACAAAGAATATCCCGCGTTTCTCCCTGCGAGACCTGGGGGCGGGTGCCTGAGACCGGTGCCTGAGGACGGAGGAGGTCGCGCGTTTTTCCCTTTTTTTTTTTTTCTCTTTTTGGCGAGCGCTTTTTGGAAGCCTTGAAGGGACGGGGACCCCAGTGCTAGGGAGGCACGGTGGCGGGACTGGTGAGCGGGTGGCTGGGACCGGCGCCTGAGGACAAAGAATATCCCCCGTTTTTCCCTGCGGGACCGGTGGGCGGGTGCCTGAGACCGGCACTTGAGGACAGAGGAAATCGCGCGTTTTTCCCCTTTTTTTTTTCTCTTTTCTGCGAGTGCTTTTTGGAAGCCTAAAAGGGACAGGGACCCCGGTGCTAGGGAGGCAGGGCGGCGGGACTGGTGAGCGGGTGCCTGGGACCGGCACCTGAGGACAAAGAATATCCCGCATTTTTCCCTGTGGGACCGGTGGGTGGGTGCCTGAGACCAGCACCTGAGGACGGAAGAAATCGCGCGTTTTTCCCCTTTTTTTTCTCTCTTTTTGCCGAGTGCTTTTTGGAAGCCTTGAAGGGACAGGGACCCCGGTGCTAGGGAGGCAGGGCGGCGGGACTGGTGAGCGGGTGCGTGGGACCAGTGCCTGAGGACCAAGAATATTGAGCGTTCCTTCCCTGCGGGACCGGTGGGTGGGTGCTTTTTGGAAGCCTTGAAAGGACAGGGACCCTGGTGCTAGGGAGACAGGGCAGCAGGACCAGTGCGCGGGTGCCTGGGACCGGCACCTGGGGAAAAAAAAAAAAAAATCGCGTGTTTTTTCTTTTTTTTTTCCTTTCTGTTCCCTCTCTCATTGTTGCTGTTGTTGTTTTGGTTTGGAGAGTGCTTTTTGGAAATCTTAAAGGGGCAGGACAGGTCACTTAGACCAGAAGCAGGGAATCTGGGGATCTCTGGGCACTCTAACCCCCTGGGCAGCAGGGAGCACAGAGGCCCCTTACGGAGATAAATAGTCTCCTGGCTGCTCCCCCTCCAACGGGGCTCCACCATTTTGGAGGAACAGCCCCAGCCAGGCCAAGCCCACAGCAACAGTGGAGATAAACCCCAAAGCAACTGGGCAGGAAGCAGAAGCCCTGTCTGCGCACAGCTGCCCAGCACAAGCCACTAGAGGTCGCTATTCTCCCAGGAAAAGGCTACAAACCAACAAGAAGGGAAGCTCTTCCAGCGGTCACTTGTACCAGCTCTGCAAACTATCTCTATCACCATGAAAAGGCAAAACTACAGGCAGACAAAGATCACAGAGACAACACCTGAGAAGGAGACAGACCTAACTAGTCCTCCTGAAAAAGAATTCAAAATAAAAATCATGAACATGCTGACAGAGATGCAGAAAAAAATGCAAGAGCAATGGGATGAGATGCAGAGAAAAATGCAAGAGCAGTGGGATGAGATGCAGAGAAAAATGCAAGAGCAGTGGGATGAAGTCCGGAAGGAGATCACAGATGTCAGGAAAGAGATCACAGAAGTGAAACAATCCCTGGAAGGATTTATAAGCAGAATGGATAAGATGCAAGAGGCCATTGAAGGAATAGAAGCCAGAGAACAGGAACGTATAGAAGCTGACATAGAGAGAGATAAAAGGATCTCCAGGAATGAAACAACACTAAGAGAAATATGTGACCAATACAAAAGGAAAAACATTCGTATTATAGGGATACCAGAAGAGGAAGAAAGAGGAAAAGGGATAGAAAGTGTCTTTGAAGAAATAATTGCTGAAAACTTCCCCAAACTGGGGGAGGAAATAATCGAACAGACCATGGAATTATACAGAACCCCCAACAGAAAGGATCCAAGGAGGACAACACCAAGACACATAATAATTAAAATGGCAAGGATCAAGGACAAGGAAAGAGTTTTAAAGGCAGCTAGAGAGAAAAAGGTCACCTATAAAGGAAAACCAATCAGGCTAACATCAGACTTCTCAACAGAAACCCTACAGGCCAGAAGAGAATGGCATGATATACTTAATGCAATGAAACAGAAGGGCCTTGAACCAAGGATACTGTATCCAGCACGACTATCATTTAAATATGATGGTGGGATCAAACAATTCCCAGACAAGCAAAAGCTGAGGGAATTTGCTTCCCACAAACCACCTCTACAGGGCATCCTACAGGGACTGCTCTAGATGGGAGCACCCCTAAAAAGAGCACAGAACAAAACACACAACATATGAAGAATGGAGGAGGAGGAATAAGAAGGGAGAGAAGAAAAGACTCTCCAGACAGTGTATATAACAGCTCAATAAGCGAGCTAAGTTAGGCAGTAAGATACTAAAGAAGCTAACCTTGAACCTTTGGTAACCACGAATCTAAAGCCTGCAATGGCAATAAGTACATATCTTTCAATAGTCACCCTAAATGTAAATGGACTTAATGCACCAATCAAAAGACATAGAGTAATAGAATGGATAAAAAAGCAAGACCCATCTATATGCTGCTTACAAGAAACTCACCTTAAACCCAAAGATAAGCATAGACTAAAAGTCAAGGGATGGAAAAACATATTTCAGGCAAACAACAGTGAGAAGAAAGCAGGGGTTGCAGTACTAATATCAGACAAAATAGACTTCAAAACAAAGAAAGTAACAAGAGATAAAGAAGGCCACTACATAATGATAAAGGGCTTAGTCCAACAAGAGGATATAACCATTCTAAATATATATGCACCCAATACAGGAGCACCAGCATATGTGAAGCAAATACTAACAGAACTAAAGAGGGAAATAGACTGCAATGCATTCATTGTAGGAGACTTCAACACACCACTCACCCCAAAGGATAGATCCACCGGGCAGAAAATAAGTAAAGACACACAGGCACTGAACAACACACTAGAACAGATGGACCTAATAGACATCTATAGAACTTTACATCCAAAAGCAACAGGATATACATTCTTCTCAAGTGCACATGGAACATTCTCCAGAATAGACCACATACTAGCTCACAAAAAGAGCCTCAGTAAATTCCACAATATTGAAATTCTACCAACCAATTTTTCAGACCACAAAGGTATGAAAGTAGAAATAAATTCTACAAAGAAAACAAAAAGGCTCACAAACACATGGAGGCTTAACAACATGCTACTAAATAATCAATGGATCAATGAACAAATCAAAATAGAGATCAAGGAATATATAGAAACAAATGACAACAACAACACTAAGCCCCAACTTCTGTGGGATGCAGCGAAAGCAGTCTTAAGAGGAAAGTATATAGCAATCCAGGC